TGTCACGGTTTCCTATGTTGTCTGCAAAGAGAAGCTTTGTCCTTTCGAAATCAGGATCTCCAGTAGCCCCGGCCGGTCTTCAGCTCGCTATGCAGTTCCTGAACGCTGACTTTAAAACACCTGCACTTCCTCCTCCTTCCTGAGTGACGAGATTTTACAAGCGCTGTCCCCACCAGGACAGCCTGCTCTTTTTATGCCTTTCGACTGTTCACTGAAATCATCCTCAGTGTCATAGGCGTTTAGGGACCTTGGAATGGTGCATAATTGCCACTTAAGACTCACCATTACTGGCCACTGTAGGGAGAATACTAAAAATTCAGTAGGTGCCTCCAAGGCAATCTAATCTAGGTGAGGTCTCACTCTACATACTAAACTCATTTCTGCAAACAGTTAAGCGGATTCTTGCCTAAAATGTCATTCTCTATGGCTATTGCTACTTTCAAAAATCTGTGGCAAATTGTGGGTGGCCAGTGACCTTTAGGAGCACCCAGTAGTCCTGAGTAATCTTTGTCCTGGGCAATCCAATATCATGTTGCTGTTTTGGTTTCCCTACTTGGGAAAGCAAACTGCTAACCCGTACCAAGTTTAAAGGACTGCTTTGTAAACTTAAAACGATTCCGGTGCTTGCCTGGCATGCCAAGACCGAAGGTTCAGTCTTCAATATAAAACCTACATCTGGGTGGACAGAACAAATGAGGCTACTAAGGGACCGTTTTAACCAATAGACATGTCATATTCACATCCTGCCTCACCTAGAGGATAAAGCTGAGAGACTGACAGAGCTATTGGGCGGGGTGATTACAACAGCTTCTTATCCTTCCTGCTGGTGCCCGCATGCCCTTGGTAGGAAAGTGAGGATTCACAACGAAGTTTTCATTGGAATTCCTCTACACAGTGGATTGTGCTCATCTGACGAACCAGGCCCGCTGTCAAGAAAAGGCCCGGTGCCAGGTGTCAGTTGTTGGCCAGAGGTGTCCTGGAGACCCCAGGGACAATACACACCATGGTCCTTGCTCTTGCTTGCCCATCAGAACTTGACAGTAAAACTGTATCACTGAAGGTGAGGCACATATTCGTCACAGGGTATGGAGAAATCAAGTTGCTACTAACCAGGCTACCATTCCATGGGCTAGAAGGTGCTATTCAGGCTGCTAAAGGACTGGAATCATGAGCAGTTTTACCCAGATGTGACCCCTGTGGATTCCCAGCAGAATATGTGCGTGGGTGCAACGGGGTAGCTAGAATGTTACCGTGGTCACACCAAACACTTCCTGGTTGGACTTTAAAGGCTTGCTCCGGCCTTTACTGGCCAAAAACAACTACTACTTTGCTAAGTGAACCTAGCATCAATCTGCCCTCCAAATTCCTCCCTCTGTTCACGGATTGGTGCAGTTGACGGACCTCATCAGTGGATGATTGGTTTACAAGAAACTACCGTTCAGTGTCTGAGTATGTGACTGTGGCACGCTCAGCCACAGACTCGACCTTTGCATCACCACTGCACCACCCCAAGGCTCAGGGACCACCTCAGAAAAGCTGATTAAAAAGGTTGTTAAGACCCGGATCCCTGCACTCACTAACCCAAGTGAGGCCTTCACAAGATCATAACTTTCTAAAACAGACTGGGAAGGAGGCTTTGAGCCCCATCCTTAACAGCTGATCTCTTCTGGAGGAGAGCAAAATCAGTTTTGGTTTTTTTTAGGGGTGTGGCTCCTGGTTGGTTGACTACACTCCTGTGGATGGGCCCAATACCCAGACTATGATGGCACAAAATTGAAATCAACAGATACTAAAATTAAAAATAGACAGACGTGAAGTTGCAATAGGGAAGTAGGAGCCAATCAGGGAGGGCGTCAGGGGAAGAGTTAGGCATAGATATGATTAAAACATATGCAACCCTCAAAAGTTTATCTTTAAAACCCAGTAGTGAGGACCTGGGGATTTTGAGCTGGAGGCCAACCTGAGAACCTGTCTCAAAAGCGAGGAACGTTGGGGCATGCCTGTGACCCTGTACCTGGTAGACAGACACAGAATGATCAGCGTTTCAAAGTCATCCTTGGCTACATAACAAGACCGAAGCCAGCTTGAGCTGCTTCCAAAGACAAAAAGCATGCGAGTCAACAGAAGAGCATGTCTAGGACGCGTGCCCTCACAGGCGCCAAGAGGAGCATGTACTGCGGTGGTAGCTGCCCCCCCCATCTCCCCGACTGTTAGAATCAGGGCTCTTTACAGTTCCAAAGTTACTCACATTCACTGTGAAAACAGTAATAGCAGATAGCAAGGAAAGAGAATAAAACACGCTTCAAAGCCCTGATCACATCTACCGGCTACAGCCTCACCTACCAAATTGTGGGTTCAATACCAACCACTACAAACACCCCACCTCACTCACAAGAACACCAGTGTTAAAAAAAAAAAAATAAAAGGCTCTTACTAAAATCTCTACAAAAAGTAGCTATTAGTGGCTTGGGGGAGGTCACTCAGAGGTGATCAGAAATGTGTGCCTCGGGTTTGGGTATGGTTCAATTAATAGAGCAATTGCTCAGCATGCCTAAGGCAAACCCTGGGTCCAGTCCCCAGCACCACATAAAAAATAAAAGGGGGGAGGGGAGGACATGCTCCTCAACTGCTCAGAAAAGTCTGGAAGAAAGGTCCCAAGACACAGGTGAGGCACTGTCCCACTGAAGACAATCATTTCAGCCACTGTAGAGGCCATAGAGGTCACTGGGAATAGCATTTTGGGAGTTGGGGTAATGTTAAAAACTAGTCATATTGAAGAAAAACAAAAGCCTAGAAAGGAATGAAAAGTAAAGCTTGTAGAAGGGAGGGGCTTTAAAGTGTGTGTTCATATGTGAGGGTGTACATGCCAGCATGCATGTGGTGGCCAGAAGTCGCTGTTGGGTGCCCTCTCTCTATGAGGACACGGGTCTTCATGCTTGGGTGGCAAACCCTGCCCACTTCACCGGTCCTGAAGCCCGTGAGAATCTTAAGGTCAGAACCACTCACAGATTCACACTTGAACAGTAAAATTGCTGGGATAGTGCTGTGTCCCTGGACTCGACAGGAACGGAGTCTCCAGATACTGGAATTCACAGCCTTGTGATGAGTACACGCAGACCACAGCCTACATCGGAGTATGGAACTGCAGGCTGGAAATGTGCTGCTTTACTTAAGAGTGACGATGTTTCACGTTAACTGTGGTTTTTATGACCAATCCAGTTAGAAGACGGCGGCCTCTTAAAAACGAGGACCACTCTACACTCAGATGTCTCTTTGCTGTGGAAAAAAAATCTGGCCTTCAACTGGTCTTAAAAACTATCCAAGAGGATCTGGAGCGACGGCTCCTCAGACCACAGTCCATACTGCTTCTGTAGAACGCCCAAGTTCAGTTCCCAACACTCACATGTGGCTTCCACAGCCATCTGCTCTTACACATATACCACATGCAAACACACAGACACATAAGGAAATAAATCTTAGACACAAACTACTGAAAAATGCAGGGTCCTGACAGCCGCTTCTGCCCTGTCTCCTCCGGTACATTGGCAGCGATAAGCCTTTAGTATCTACCGGTAGCCAACATGCAGCCTCTCCACTTTTGCTGAGCTGACGGTTCAAAACAGCTGCTGGGGTTTTGTTTATTTGGGTTTTTTGTTTGTTTGTTTTGTTCTGCTGTCTTGCATTCAGGATCTGAAGAGTTTGAGAGAAGTTATATACATGACTCACCCGTTTCCTGAAAGTGGAGAAATATATAAAAAAGAAGACATGCCCTAATTAGTTTTTATTGCTTTCAAACCCTTCACAGAAAATGGTGTATACTTCAATTAAAAGATCCAGAAATAGTTCAAATTAAACCATTTTCTGTATCCCAATAATTACTTTGAAGTATTAAGATCAGAACACAATTAATGAGTCCTGTCTTCCATTAATTTCTTGGCGTTCTAAACCATAAGAATTCTTAAGAAATAAATAAACAAAAAAAAAAAAAAAACAAAACAAAAACAAAAAAAAACTTCTGGCTAAATTTCCTATAGACTCCATGAGTTAGGGAAACTGCTTTTGTAAGGTCTCAGAGATAATTTCTTCCATTACATTTATGACCTTAAATATGAGATATTTCACAAATATTTGAGGTTTCTTTTTTGCTATTTTCTTAGCCTACAACACAAATCCCAGTAAAGTGGCCTCAACCTCTTTGGAATATTTCTGTTAATTGCTATGTTTCACATTTCTTCAGTATCTGTGAATTCATCATGAATCTCCTACAAATATTTTGAATATTTCTGAATACTCTAAGATCCATGTTCAGTTTCCTGAGTTAATCATTTTCATGACCTCTTTGATGAGGCAGGGTTCTTATAGTAGATTAACTTTTTAGGTTATGTGTAGGAAGATGGCCAGAAACATGATTCTCTGATTTTTTTTCTTTCATACTCATCCCCCAAGTTTACTTATATACGCCCTCCTTACCACCACTGTTGTTTTCCTCGTGTGAGAAATCTCCTTGTGAAATTCGAAGATTTCTTAGGAAAAAAACAGCCATCTTACCATATTTTTGCCTGGTTACAAAAACAGAGTGGGACACCCAGACTAATCTGTTGAAAAGATGTTGGAATGAGAGAAAAAAAAAAAAAGAAAAAAAGAAAAAGACTAATTGGTAGGAAAGCAGTTATATTGAATAACCACAGTATTTCTCTAAAGAGACAAATTTCCACAAATCCACTCCTCCAGGAAAATGCTTCTAGGTACCAGTCGATTTTAGAATACAAGTTTTATACAGACCATTGGCCTGTTAATAAACACTGAAACCTAGACCACTGATACACAGACTTTATTAAGATTTGTCACATATAATAGAGTATAGTTTCCATTGCATCCAAATACCAATCAAGAATGGCAGTACATCATTTTGTAACAACCGACACTTGTGGCTTTTCAAATCCGGTTTACAGAAACTTTATCCTCGATTAAATCAAGTCATGCTTTTTTAAAAAAAAAAAAAATGATTTAGGTCACTCCAAGCTTGGCAATTAACATTTGGCATGGGCAATGATAAAACAACCACAACAGATAAATAACACACAGAACCTCCTGGGCCATAAACACATACTGCAAAAGGAAACGGTAGTGAGTCAGTAGTTACCACAGTTTAATAGAGGAGCTTAGTGGAGACATCTGGAAGCATTGATTCACAAGCCCTAAGAGTTCTCAAAGCAGGGGCAATGTTTACAGTAGTACATCTTACACCGATAACACAGAAAACAACTACACAACGAGGAGCTATTTGTATGAATGCCTTACATCCTTCCGAGCTAGCAACAATACCTTAGTATAAAAAAATATTCAAGTTGTATTTCCCGTAGGACTTTCTGTGCTTCCTAGCGAGTGCTCAATGGATTTAATGGAGGCAGCAATCCCCCTACAGTGATCTATTTTAGCATTTTTTTTACAGCTACCTACACCCAAAGACTTTTAGACTTTTGGAATGACCAGTGACCAAAGAGTGTGGCCACATTTCAACCTACAGTAAAAGCACGTTTGACTCAATCTTATTTTGTCAATTTACCTGAAATTAAATTTTAATCTTATAAAAAAAAGTGTATGAGTAGCATAATAAATAATGAATATATTGAAATGGTGGTTGCTAATTACCAAGGATATGGAGGGGACCCTATACTTATACCACTGGAAGTTTTGGTTTCTGTATGTTTCTAACGTATAGAAGTACTGACATACATGCACGCCTGCTTACTTTAGTCTGGTGTGTTCACAAACCCAAGATATGGTCCTCGTACAAAAACTGTTTATCCAAGAAAAAAAAAAAAAAAAGTAGCTGGTGGTTTCTCCTTTAAAAGTAACAAAATGATCCCAAATCTTTTAATAACCAGAATTTAGAAGAGAACGATTTTAAGTTAGAAATCAAGTACACAGAGACTCGAAAAACGAAAGAGATGACTCACAGGAAAGGATCAAACCAGAACCCCAGATGTAGAGTGATTTTGTAAATTAGAAGCACGGTGGTCACCTGCAGCCTCCCGTCACTCGGGTGAGAGCCTCGGGACTGCCAGAGGCTTGGTGCCGCTGTCTCCTACACTCCGGGAAGGGCGGGCACTCGGCGAGCACTCGGCGAACAAACGCTAGAAGGGTGTTTCCCTGCAGTGGAGGTGAAGGTGCTTTCACTTTGTTTAATTTACAAACTATTTGGTCAAAGAAAGAAGTAAAGCTGCGTAAAAGCACATCTGGTAGAAATCTGCGGCGCGAGCACTGACGAGATGTGCCTGGGTCTCGCTTGCAGCACCTGGCAGTGGGCAGCAGAACGGTCAGCAGCTCAGGGACTCTCCTCCGTCGGTTCTGAAGGTGGCTCCGAGGTCGTGGAACTGGTAGCATTTGCTGTGGAACTCAGGACTTCTCCAAAATCGCCGCCGGAAGGCTTGGTTCCCCCTACTTTAGACTGTTTTCAAAGTGGAGGGGGGGGGGACATCAGGAAACAAAGTTAACTGCCTCTGCGAAAGGAACTCTACAATTGCATCGAAGAACAAACTGGGCCTCTCGTAACCCAGTGCTCACTCTGCACATGCGGATGGATGTAAGCGCTGCTGCAGTGCTCAGGGCAGCTAAACAGTGAAACACCAGAGTGTTTCCTTACCGGAGTGCTCCCCTTCCTCCCCTCCCTCCTCCCCCCTCTCCCCACCAGCCAAATGCTCTTCACCAGAAATTGCACTTAGTAGAGAACTACTACTAAGTACCTACTGACCTCTGCAGATGCTTGAGAAACACTTTGTAGTCATCTATTTCATTCTGCACATCCTTTCAGAGATATTACTGAGTACAACGAACGGGAAGAAATAAAAGTCCTTTTCCAAGTGACTGTGAGCTTCCCAGTCCTTTCCTACATAAAAGTTTGGCCTGCAGACTCAGTGGGGTGTCAGAACCCAAGCCAGAGGGACCCCGAGTGACTTTGTGTGCACCGGAAACTTGGGCCGCTCTAGTCCAACCTCCGAGGCCTGAAACCACCAATCAGTATCGGTTTGAATGCCTCAGGCGCCCGACGTTTCTATTATCTTTCAGGTTTCTGTTTTTGTTTCAAAATTGCTAGATGGATGTGGTGGCTCATGTCTATAATATGAACACCCGGAAGGCTGAGGCAGGAGGATTTCCATGACCATGAGTTTCTAGGCTACACTGTAAGTTCCTGTGGATACTGTGAATGTCACTTCAGGCTTCTCAATGCTCGATGACCGTTGCATGTAGTGACTGAGCAACGTGACAGCTTACGCTATGAGCACGCCAGCCAGTGACCAAGAATGCATGCTCAGTGGATTCAAACTTGACCTTCTTGTTACCCTAGTCTTAACTCACTAGGCAGAGTCTAAAGACCGGAATCTAATAGAAAGTTTTCCCCCCTTTTTTTTTTTATTTTTTTAAATCTCCCATCCAACCTTTGAATTGTTGGATAAATTTGCGTAACCTGTGTCCGTTGTTAAATTCACTGAAATGTGTCTTTAACTATAAGAAATTGTGAGGACTCCTTGTAATTCAGCATATGTAAAGGAGAACTCCCCACCAGTGGGTCCCTCTTCATCTTTCTCCTTCGGGAGGGGAGATTAAACCCTTCAAGCATGAGGATAGTCATATTTCACTGTTTGCTCCACAAAATACTAAGTAAAATGGGATTAAAATGTTAAACATAAAGATGCAAAAGGGAACTGTTGTACAGCGGCAGCACGCCCGCAGTTGACGGGCCCAGCACACGGGGCTGTGCACGAACCCTCCTTTTTCTCCCACGTGTCGCTTTCATCCTGGTCTGACTTCTCCATTATTCCCATCATCCTACCTGAATTCTTCACGATCCCCTTCACCTACATCACAACTCCCACATCTCAACTGCTCTTCCTGTCCGTGAGCTGCACCCTAACCCTTCATTGTGAGACGCTGGCAATGATGCTTTTTTGGTAAAATGAACAAGAGGAGGTGCTCTTTAAGTTGACTAATACCCTTTAGTGGCTTCCCATTTCCATAACACAGATTAGCATTCCTCAAAAAAAAAAAAAAAAAAAAAGGCCCTAAGGCCTTATGCATGTCTCCAATTATATTACTGAGAGGCTTTGCTAAACAATGAAAAAAATATCCTTTAAAAAGATATAAAAGACAGTGACAACTTTTTAATATTTCAATATTAATTATGAATATTAAAATATGAATACTAATATTTATATTAATGCTTTAGTATTATGTGCTTTCTAGGTAAAATTTTGTTCAATTATAAGATTATTTGAAATAAAGCAAATGTCTGAAGAATTGCAGTTTTGCGTTACCCATCCTCTGTGTACAAACACACACACACACACACACACACACACACACACACACGTCCATTAGTGGCACGAAGGGTACAAGTCTTAAAGTTCTCTCCAGCTGCACGTGAATATGTAAGGCAGCCAAAAGTGTGTCATGAAGACAGATCACACCTCTTTACTTACCTTTAAGTTTTCAACCTTTTCTTCAAATGACTTGAAAGTTGGGGAGTTTCTATGAAGATAGAAAAAAAAAAGTAAAATTGCAACCACTGTGAGAAACAGTCAAGAGTCTCCAAAGCATCAGAAAGGGCTACATTTCTCTTTGCTGCTATTCACAATTAGCAAAGGAGCCGGTATTTAGCTCACGTGTGTGCACAGGTATGGACATGTATGTACAATTATTATATAGGACCAGCTTCTGAGCTAGTGTTTCTATAAGTTTGCTTTGAAGATCATAAAGAATATCCCTCTGAGATATAAGTGCTATTGTCATGTGGACTTGTATGGAAAAGGAAGAAGGCAGACCACATCAGCTCTGTCACCTCCCCAACAGAATGTAAGATAATGCCATCATGAAATCTCCTGAACCCGGGCACCAGGCTTTAGAACTCTGCTTTCTCGGCTCATCTTGCAGGGCAGGATTCCCACGTGAGCACACAAAACACTACAACCATGGAGACAAACTGTGAGGGTCTCTTACAGGGACCCTGATTCCAAAAGAACTGTGTCAGGCGGAAGGGACCGAGAACTCAGAAGCTTTTCTTTCCTCTATGCTTTGGGCTTTCTCCCTCACCCATAGGACCCTACCCATAGGACCATAAATATCCACCCTGTTGCACAGTTAAAAGCACAGCATAGAGGGACTACAAAGCCAACGCTTGTCCACATGTGACAACCCGCCTCCCCCACGTCAGGACCAGCTCTCAAGAACAAGGCAGGAGAATGAACTCTCTACGGGTTGGTCCAGCATGCAGCACTGTAACTACCCTTCTGGTTGATTCCTACACAGACTGAAGCCCAAGCCAGGGCTTTCACCTGTTAAAAAGCCTCTGCCTGGGGCCGGGTGGTGGTGCTGGCACACACCTGTAATCCCAGAACGTGGGAGGCAGAGGCAGGTGGATCTCTGTGAGTTTGACGCCAGCCTGGTCTACAGAGCGAGTTCCAGGACAGCCTCCAAAAGAACACAGAGAAAGCCTCCAAAAGAACACAGAGAAACCCTGTCTCAAAAAACAAAAGCAAAACCAAACAAATAAAAGAAAAAAAAAGAGAGAGAGAAAGGAAGGAAGGAAGGAGGAAGGAATGAAGGAAGAAGGGAGGAAGGATGGAGGAAGGAGGAAGGAAGAAGGAAGGACGAAGGAAGGAAGGAGGAAGGAAGGAAGGAGGAAGGAAGGAGGAAGGAGGAAGGAAGGAAGGAAAGAGGAAGAAAGGAAGGAAGGAGGAAGGAGGAAGGAAGGAGGAAGGAAGGAAGGAAGGAGGAAGGAAGGAAGGAAGGAGGAAGGAGGAAGGAAGGAGGAAGGAAGGAAGGAAGGAGGAAGGAAGGAGGAAGGAAGGAAGGAAGAAGGAAGAAGGAAGGAGGAAGGAGGAAGGAAGGAAGGAAAGAGGAAGAAAGGAAGGAAGGAGGAAGGAGGAAGGAAGGAGGAAGGAAGGAAGGAAGGAAGGAAGGAGGAAGGAAGGAGGAAGGAAGGAAGGAAGAAGGGAGGAAGGAAGGAGGAAGGAGGAAGGAAGGAAGGAAAGAGGAAGAAAGGAAGGAAGGAGGAAGGAGGAAGGAAGGAGGAAGGAGGAAGGAAGGAGGAAGGAAGGAGGAAGGAAGGAAGGAAGAAGGAAGGAAGGAAAGAGGAAGGAAGGAAGCCAGCCCAAGGTTGGCTGGCTCCAAAGGCCACTCTGTGATAGGGTGGTGGAAGGAAGGGGGCTGTAACCAAAGCTAACAAAAAAGGGACAAAATAATCCCGAGCCACTGCACTAGGAAAGCTTCATTCTGCACCACCACGTGTTTTCCAAATCAACCGATCTCAGATAGAGATTTTATAAAATGAAATTGAAATACAAAAAAAAAACCAAACAAACAAAAACCAAAATTTCGTGTTTTGCATGGCATAAATCCATTGCAACATTGTAAGAAAAGTAGCTGTAAATTGTAACAGTGTTAAAAGCACAGCTTGTTAAGAAACAATGGTTTGGGCTTGACATCCAAACAAAGGGCGGAAGCATCTTGCCAAGATATACTTTACCTCATAGCAGGCATGCTAATCGAATGTTGGATGGAGCGTATGCTGAGGCAGGCATTAAAAGAGACAGAAAGAGGTTAGTGTGTAGTGACCACACTACAGGGTTAGTATGTACTGACGCCACCTAAGAAGCTGACCACGCTTTTCTGATATGCAAGGCTTTCTCGGACAGATCATTCTTTTGCCACTGTCAACAATGCTACTTTTTGAGGTGGGAGGGAGATGTCAAAGCTATTCCAAAAGAGTCTCCTTCCATTCATAAGCCAACTTCAACTGAATCAGTCTGGGCGCTCGGAAGACAGGTGTGTCTTCCCCTCGAGCTCTGAAAGCTGCCATGTGCTTTTACCTGAGTCTGGAAGGCTCAAGGCTCAGAAGGGAAAAGGCAGCCCAAGGTAACAGCGGAAAACTGACAACAGAACTTGGGTCTTTAGGAGTCTCCACTCAGTATTCACAACCTCCCCTCAAAAGTGAAGCATGCAAACACATGCAAACACACACACACACACACACACACACACACACACACACACGGGAGCACACACAAGCCCCGGATGGGATGCAGTGGGCATCTTTCTCTAGGTATTTGTTTATAGCCTGGAGCAGGGCGGTTTCTAAATCTATCACCCATTTAATAACTAAGTTATTACTAATCCCATAGCACTCCTTAGCAGTAACAGCCTCTGTCCCTCACTTACAGATGCTCACACTTTACCTCAAGACTCCCTAGAGTGTTCATGTACCATTCAGCTCTCTATATTCTGGGGTTGAACTTCTACCCCATAACAGTACAGTCCACTGGTTGGCAAAGCTTTTGAGCCTGCCCTCAGCTATTTTCCCTAGACACCAGCTCAATAGCTTAAAATGTCTTCATTCTTGGGCTCCTAAAAAAAAAACACACACACACAAAACAAAAGACTATACCTACATGCTTTGTTCTTGCTCACACTGCTATGTTGTACATATTTTGGTCACTACCACGGGTTTTTGGTAAGAAAGCTTTCTTTCCGGTAATGCAAATGGTTCAAATATTAATCCTTAATGGCATTTAAAAGTGTTTGTGTGTTTATGACTAAGTTTCTTCAAAGGCTGTTGTTGCAGATGACAACGTGTTGTGTGATATCAAGACTAGTTTGATATTACTATACACAGTATGGTCTGGATGTGCAGCCGAATATGAAAACTCTGTAACAGAGACAATCAGGACACCACCGGGCTGTTCTATTTGTCACACAGCAAATTCTCCACCCTACACAGAAGGCCTGTGCTATGGCTGCATCTTGGGCAGGATTACACTGGGGGGGGGGAGGGGATGGAGAAGATTCTTCTATTTGATCCTTTCAATTGTACTGTTCCCATAATTGTAGGGCACAGGTTAACGAAAGCAATCCTTCTAAATTCTTAACAGCAGAACGTGAATCATCACATGGACTTCCGTGGGCCCCTCTAAAGGAAGAGCCGGGAAGAGCCACATACCCGCAAACACCGTTGACCCTATCTCCTGTGATACACCGGGGGAGCACCCCACCCCCCAACACTTCCAACCTCCTATCAGTCTGCAGACTGCCAGCACTGAATAGGGTGTGGGGGCTGTGACAACAGCCTGACCCTGAAATCAGGCAGGAAGCTGCTGTCTCAGGCAAGGGGTGAGTTCTGAGCTGGAAAGGCTGCGGAAGAACTGTCCGACCATGACAAGCCGTAAGGACCCAGGGAAAGGCCGTAGCCCAAGAAAAGAGAAATAGAAGCGCAGATAGAGGTTAGAAAGGATGGAGAGACAGCCATGCAGGTACAAGGTGAGGCAGGAGAGGGTGAACTTTCAGATGTCCTAGGGTTCCAGATGCTACCTCAGTTTCCAACGCTATTCCAGTAGTCAGGCTGGTCTGAGTGAGGCTGGGCTCCTCTCTGCCCACTCCCTGAGTTACAAAACAGTTTTGTATTCGTGCAAAACACTCCCTTTTTGCATTGAGCTAACACATGTCATGTTCTGTTCCCCAACAAAAACATTCTTCCCTAGAAGAGTCACTTCAGCAGGAGAAGCTACTAAATTCTGTCCACAGAAGGTGAGTAGTGGCCAAATATGGTAAACGGACTTTGCACGGAATTCACACACCGTCTGACAATATAAACAAAAGGAGGAAATATGTGAATAAAGTTGAAGTTTTTAAAAGGCACATGCAAATCTAGGACCTGTTCCTACTGTCATGTAAAAAGCTTTTAAACTGGGTTGTCTTGCCAGTAGTGCACAAGCTAATATATATTAAATATGCCTCAGAGACAATATGTAAGGAAAGACAAGGAACTGTTTATTTTGCGAAAAATCACTGGGCTGAATTTGCATATTTTTCTGTAGCTCTATTTCATAATTAAAAAAAAAAAAAAAAACAACTCCAAAACAAAGAATGGAGTCAATTGCTAGAGGAGTCAATTGCTTTGAGAGCCATCTTAGTGGGAAGCACATCAGTCCAACCCCATCCCATTAGCTAATCCCCTCAACAGCCACACCCAGATGACATTTCAGTTGGTGGGCAGCTGTCCTTTCATTCCTGGCTCCTCCCACACAAAGTTAAACAAAGCTTCCTCAACTGAAATATCAGCTCCTGCTTCATCCATAGTTGAACGCAATATGGAACCTTCCAGAACAGAAAGCCAGAGTCATGGCTTGACAAGCTATGCGGGTCTGTCACCTCTAGAAAGCAAAATCTGTTTAAAAAAAAAAAAATCTCCCACCCTGATTTGAGAGGCCTCTCCAAACACGACGGGGACAGGGAGCCCAGGCAGGGCTGCTTCTCAGAGCAACTTCTCCGTCTATCTCGGACTCACTTTACTCATTCCTTTAAAAAGCTGAACTAGCTGCTTAGTTCTCTTCTCGTCTCTGACACGGTTGTTTTATCCTTCCATCTCTAACAATGAGGATAGGCAGAGTGAGGAAGGAAAAGGAAGGACCATGCAGAGAAGGGCATAGGCTAACGTGTGATGGAAGCCTGGCATGTGGCAGGCAGGCTTCTAAAAGTAGTGCCATGTTGCCCTTACAATACCAGAGCAACAGTGCTGGCCGATGCCCAGGGCTCAGGGGTCACTTTCAAGCTCACTGCTCTGAGGAGACAGCCAGCTCTGAGACCAGGGCCCTGGGGTCAAATCTGAACCATCAGCCACTTACACTGGCTTTGTAACCTTGAAGTCACGTAGTCTCCTCTAGCTCAGTGTCCTCCCGACTGTACTATCAAAGCAATAACCACGCCTACTTTGGAAGTGCTCACGTCTTCTTACCCAGCAGATAGCCGTTAGCCATCATTTTCCATGGTAGACTATCTCTCTTAGAAAAGTTTCCAGTATCCGCAGGTCTTAGAACAGGGTCTGACACATAATTAGCCTTTCACAACCACATCAGAATGAATGAACACCTTCGATAACTAACACTGGGAGATGTGAATGTGGAAGGCAGAGGAAGTTATCACAACGGCCCAGCTCCCGACCAAAACGTACTGTTTCATAGGGCACAAGAAGATTGTTCTTTTCTCACAGGGAGCAGTAGTTTCCAGTAAAAATCAATAGTCGGGAATGACCTTAATAAAACCCCAAACAAATTAAAAATATTGGTGTGTGTGTGTGTGTGTACGTACATATATGAAGAAATACTCGTTTGAAAGGAAAACACAAGAGACCATCGCTTGTGTTTAAAGGCAGCAGTGGTTAAAGTGAGAAGGGACTTCCAAAGGATTTCTCCATGTTATAAAAGCATGGCTCCGTATGTTGCCTGTATGTAAAGAAAACAGGAAGGAATGTGTTGGAGGAAACATACACACTACTGTCATGGGTGTCCAATTATTGTCTCCTCGGGCCTGGGGGGGGGTCAGTTTTCATTACCTTGTCCCACCAGGCAGGCTGGGCTCTCATTTTCAAAACATCAAAACACCTTGTAAGGAGTAGGTTTTTCCGCCCGCCACTGGTCTTGTCCCGCCGCCACGCCAGCCCCAATTAACACACCGAGACTCTGTATTTGATATAACGCTGTTGGCCAGGTGCTAGTTTCTTATCGGCTAGCTCTGTCTTAATTATTAACCCATTTCTATGTATTTCCACGTGGTTTCACCTTACCGGGGAGTGGGGCCTGAGTCTCGTCCCCCTGGTCTCTCCCTGTTGACTCCTCCTTACTACCTCCCTGAATCCTCCTCGTCTCCTAGTCCCACCTATCTTGCTTTCCTATTGGCCAACAGTGCTTTATTCATTAACCGGTATGAGAAACATATTTACAGAATGACGTCTCCCATCAACACCTGTTCTCACACACCCTCTCCCTGGTCTCATCTCTCTCTTTACCTCTCTCTTGCCCTTTCTCTCCTCCATCCCTCCGCTAACCTAGCCAACACTGTTACAGATATCTGAACCTCAAATGTTAACTCATTTACTGACCATGCTTTTTAAAAAAGAAAATACTGATGTGGAAATAGCTGACTTAGCAAAAGCAGTACATTTCTCTTTCTATACCCAAAATGACATCAGCATGAAGTCACTAAGCTGGAGTTTGCCACATGAAGGGCACTGAGGACAGACAGTTAATGGGGTTCACCATCTGCTTCAGAGCAGTTGGCAAAAGCGAACTCAGATGTCCATCCTCTTAGCTCCCACCGGAACCCCCACCCGGGTCATGCTCCTGGAACTAGGAAACAGCCTATCTCCTTGGATGGTTCCTGGAGGAATGTGGCCAGAATCTGCCTCTCTGACCCCCATGATCTGAAAGATGTGATTTGTTTTCTTTATGTGCCTGAAAACATGAAACAGATTAAGGGACTTCTGCTGATCTCTGATCTATAAGAAATACAGAGTTTAGAAGAGAAACCTTTTTTCCTGTGTTAGGAGTAAGGTTTTTCCCTGCCAGCCTGGTCAGGTCCCACCGCCATGCCAGTCCCAAATAACACACAGAAACACTGTGTTAGATATAATTCTGTTGACCAGTTACTAGTTTCTTATCAGCTAGCTCTGTCTTAAGTATTAACCCATTTCTATTAATCTAATTATTTCCACGTGGTCTCATCTTACCGGAGAGAGACCGGCATTCTACCCTGTAGGTCCTCCATATTGGAACTCCTCCCTACTACTTCCTCTCTCCTCCTTGTCTCCTAGTCCCGCCTATCTAGCTCTCCTATTGGCCAACAGTGCTTTATTCATTAACCAATAAGAGAAACATTAACAGAATGACATCTCCCATCATTCCTGTTTCCAAGTTTTCATCAAAAGACTGGTTTCTACATAGTGATGCACACTAGTTGCTTGTCAGTAAGAACAAGACAAACATTTACACCGCTTCCTTAAAGTTTAAGAACATTATAGAAGAGGGGGCAGAAAAATGCAGGGCTGGCCTGGCAGTGGCGGCGCACGCCTTTAATCACGGCACTCAGGGGGCAGAGGCAGGCGGATCTCTGAGTCAGAGGCCAGCCTGGTCTACAGAGCCAGTTCAGGACAGGCTCCAAAGCTACAGAGAGAGATCCTGTTCTGAAAAGAAAGGGAAAGGAAAGGGCAGAGGAGAGCAGAGGAGAGGAGAGGAGAGCAGGGGAGAGGAGAGGAGAGCAGAGCAGAGGAGAGCAGAGCAGAGCAGAGGAGAGCAGAGCAGAGCAGAGGAGAGCAGAGGAGAGGACAGGAGAGCAGAGGAGAGGACAGGAGAGCAGAGGAGAGGAGAGCAGAGGAGAGGAGAGCAGAGGAGAGGAGAGCAGAGGAGAGGAGAGCAGAGGAGAGGAGAGGAGAGCAGAGGAGAGCAGAGGAGAGGAGAGGAGAGCAGAGGAGAGGAAAGCAGAGCAGAGGAGAGCAGAGGAGAGGAGAGCAGAGGAGAGGAGAGCAGAGGAGAGGAGAGGGGAGGAGATGAGAGCAGAGGAGAGGAGAGGAGAGCAGAGGAGAGGAGAGGGGAGGAGAGGAGAGCAGAGGAGAGGAGAGCAGAGGAGAGGAGAGCAGAGAGGAGAGGAGAGCAGAGGAGAGGAGAGGGGAGGAGAGGAGAGGAGAGCAGAGGAGAGGAGAGCAGAGGAGAGGAGAGGAGAGCAGAGGAGAGGAGAGGAGAGCAGAGGAGAGGAGAGCAGAGCAGAGGAGAGGAGAGGAGAGCAGAGGAGAGGAGAGCAGAGGAGAGGAGAGCAGAGGAGAGGAGAGCAGAGCAGAGGAGAGCAGAGGAGAGGAGAGCAGAGGAGAGGAGAGGAGAGCAGAGAGGAGAGCAGAGCAGAGGAGAGCAGAGGAGAGGAGAGCAGAGGTGAGGAGAGGAGAGCAGAGCAGAGGAAAGGAGAGCAGAGGAGAGGAGGGGAGAGCAGAGGAGAGGAGAGCAGAGCAGAGGAGAGGAGAGGAGAGGAGAGGAGAGGAGAGGATACAAGGGCTGGAAGGAGAGGAGAAGGCTACGAAATGTCACCTTGTAAGCCTGACACAGTGCCTGCAATCATTTAATTCCTAGGCGCTGTGCCTAGAAGAAAGCTCTCACTGCTAAACTGCTAGTAGCTAATAGATTCCCGGAGATGGGGAGGCATAATATTTATTCAGTTGTATACACACTGGTGAACCTCCAGTGCTGCGATGGCTAATTCCAAGCCCAGGCTAACACAGACGGCCCTGGTTAAGTTCAGAAGGGCACTGAAGTAAACAAACACTAAAGAATACGGGAAGGGCATCTCTAAAGAGGAGGGGGCTGGCAGAGTTGGAAGAGAAGTAAGAGTGGGCTGGGGAGTGTCCTTTATACATGCACGAACCTCTCGAGAACAACATTTGTCGACTTCAAAATAGCTCGGTACAACCGGTATTTCTACGTGAAATAAGGAGACGGCACACACTGGACTAAACTTATACACAGCTTTAATCGTGCCAACACTGTGGGTAAAGAGCAGTCTGTAAATGAAGCGTGTCATTCTCCACAGGCCTTGCACACTGCTGCACTTTATTTGTGTTCACGCCACACGCGACACTTTGAAGACCAAGTGCCTGCAAGCTCCTCTACTCTTCAGGCATCCCAAGGCCCCGGCTCCTTCCCCCACACCACTCAAGGACACCTGTCCTAGCAAAAGCTGTGTCTGTCTTTGCGGGCACCCTTGTGCTAGAATGGCTTATAAGACGCAATTCTTACTCATCTGCCCCCAACTCTTAAGCTACTTTCCCACAGGTGCTTAAATCATTGGCTACTTGATTTTTTTTTTTTTAATCATAATCTTAACTTTAAATAGTTCAACGATGACAGCTTATGCGTCTCTTTGTTTTACCCTGATTCCAGCTGGAGCTGCATGTATCTGTTGGCTTATTCAAGAGAAGGGCGGGGGGGGGGGGTTCCCATGGCTTATTCAAGGTTTGGGGGGAGGGAGCAGAAATGAGATCATGAGAAGGAGGAGAAGGAGGAAAGAAAGAAAAATCGGTGGATAATGGAATTCATGTAACACACACACACACACAAAAAAAATAGAGGATTGTGAAGACGGCGGCAGTAGAGATGGATAACAAGAGAATACAATGGCGTGTATATACGCAAATACTCATCCCTTTGTAGTCTGACTTTAAAAATGAGCAACCAGAAAAGGGAGACAGGAGGAGAAAAAAAAAAAAAAAACCCAGTAGCAGTTACGTCATGGCAAGGGTCCCTTAAGGCGATGAGAGAGATGGAAATGGAGGAGGCACCCTTCCTGCTTACTGCCTAAGGATATATCTCATTCCTCTCCTCCAAAACCTCCATGTGTAATCATACAATCAGAGTTGTCACAGCGACCCCTACAGGGCAGAACGCGCACTTCCTAACGCATGTGCCCTTTCCCACGGGCACACCCTCAGCCTACCCTGTGTGCTTAAAGAGCAGCCAGTGGAGAGATAACGAAACAGCTAAGCCTATGGGCGAATAAGGCAAATCCTGAAAAGTGCATCGTGGGTAAGAGCCGACGTGTGGGTACTGAAACCGTTAGAAAGACGGAAGAGTTAATACCACGAGACAGTACATAAGCAGGCTATTATAATTACGTAATAGGACCCACATGAAGGAGAGAATTCCAACATCCTTACGAGAGCACCAAAAGAAACAAAAGCATCAAAGCCAAACAAAGTCAGACATCAGACGGGAGGAATTCTGTATGCCATGGTAAAAAAAATAAAAATAAAAAAAAATAGTAATAATCGGAGCTTCTAAAATCATCTCCACATCCCCTGTGCTGCATTCACCTGGTCCATTACACAGGGTATACAAGGAAACCCTCCCTTGGGATTGGAACCGCACGCACTCCAGCAGAAGCTACTGTGAACGCAGGAGAGCCACACGGTGGACGCACACGAGCATCTACCCAGGCATCAGCATCTCGTCTCGCACACACTCATCTCTCACAGCTGCTAGGCGGCAGCAGGCGTTCAGCTCTCCTTACCTAAAGGAATGTGCAAAGGCCTGCAGTCTGTAAGAAGCCAGAGGAAGCATTAAAACAGACAGGAAGTTCTGCCCAGCCCATCACAATTACACAGCAGCCGGCTTTTATAAGGGTGGGTGTGTGTTTCCCACAGCCCCTGCAACACTAAAAGAGTCAGCCAGCGTGCAAAGTAGAGGGATCATCCGGCAGGTGCGCCATACCCAAGACTCTCCGAGGGGCTCAGGAAATCTGTCCTTAAGATCATACTTGGGACAACAACGGTCCTCCCAAATATAACGGATGAGGAAATGGATTTCAATACACAGTATAAAATATTGATTGGCCAGACCAATTCAACTAACAAAATTCTGGTTGTAAAACCTATCGTCCCCACACATAAAGCATACGTCATGCGAGCCAAGCTTAGAAAGAGACAAACGGAAAGTGCGTACACCAACAGAAGTACAGCCCGTGCAAGCCATGTTGCCCGCGGCTGGCGCTATTCTAATTGTGGCGGTAGACAGAAACACGAAGGCACCGTGGAGTGGTCTTGCCAAAAGGAAAAAAATCTGAAAACTAATCTCAAATACAATGTACAGTTTAAAAAAAAAAGAAACTCAAAGTCAAGACCTGGGCCTGATCATGAATACACGTAAAGCTCGGGGGTTCGTACACACCAGTGCACACAGAAGCACCTTGGAACCACACCGTGACGTACACATGTCACACACAGTGTCACACACAGTGAAGCTCTCAGGCCAAGCAAGCGTGCACTTCTGCGCTCTCCCCCAGAAAGACACCCGGCTCTGCCCACAGTCACACGTTTGCAAACACCAGAGACGTACTCACACTGAGTGACCGAGAGGGACTGAGATGCAAACGTTTCCAACCAGAATTTTTCAGCAGCCCTTAAAGGGTTAGAATACTAGGCCCAGAAGAATTCGGGCAAGCACCTTAGGCCTTGGTATGAAGGAGAACCCTCCCTCACTCTAACAGAAGGGGGCAAGGCAGCACCCTGACCCACAGGCCGGGGCCAACGGTGATGGCAATGACAGCTCCAGTCAGTTTCCCCACAACTACTGGGTGAGCCAGGGGAAACACATACATACCTTACATCTTCCAGCTTTCTGGTGATGACGGAGCCAACGGATGAAAACGCAGCGGAAGCCTTCTGTCCGGCCTGAGACAAGGTTTCAGATGTCTTCTTGTATCTGCAGTCAAAACGGGGGGGGGGGATGTCAGCCGGGCTTTTCTGTAAACTCTGGCACAGGGTACGCATCTTTTGGAGAATTTAAGGTTAGAACAGTTTTAAGAATGTCTAAAAAACAAAAACAACAACAATAACAAAAAACAAAAACAGGGAGGAATCCTAACCACCACTTTGGGAACCTGAATATGATTCCCTCATCCTGAGCATGAGATCGTTTTGCTCTCTATTGCTTAGAAAACCGAAATTAGAATAGAATCGTTACCCTGAAGAACTGGACGAAAAGGCTGCGTGGTCCAAAGCAAAGCAATGGGAACATCCTCACCCCCCCCCCCGCCTCTCCCTCTCCCCAAAGCAAAGGTTCAAAGGCACCCTTCGAACAGTCTAGAGTGTGCACAGTGAAGTCACGCACGCGGAGGTCGCTGTGACGTCTTGCCACCCCTTGGCGATGTTCTGCTTGAATTCCTGAAGTGAACTGATCCCAAGTTTCCGCTTGATCTCTGCGAGATGTTTCTCCTTTGCCGCCAACACTTGAGACAGGGTCTGGATTTCTTCTTCCACCTATGAGGAACAGGGTAGAGGAGAAAATACGGCAAGAGCTGCTCTGTAGTTATTACGGACATCAACGCAAGCCACGCTCAGATGCTACCAATACTTTCAGGGGGGTGGTGTGCTTGTTTGTTTGTGTTTGTCTGAGACAAGAATCTCACTATGCATTCTTGGACAGCTGGGACTCTCTACGTAGACCAGGTTGGCCTCGAATTCACAGAGATCTTGCCAGGTGGTGGCCGCACATCCCTTTAATGCCAGCACTTGGGAGGCGAAGGCAGGCAGATCTCTGAGTGCCAGGATAGCCTGATCAGCCAGGCTACATGAAGAAATCATGTCTCAAAAAAAGAAAAAAATCCACAGAGATCCACCGCTTCTATTTCTCAAGTGCTGGTGCTGTGATAAATGTGCACCACCACGCCTGGCTATGTTTTATTTATTATTATTATTATTATTATTATTATTATTATTATTATTATTATATTTACCTATGTCTTTAGTAAGCGGGTTATTATTAACTTTACCTATGTCTTTAATAAGCGGGTTATTATTATTATTATTATTAACTTTACCTATGTCTTTAGTAAGCAGGTTATTATTATTATTATTATTAACTTTACCTATGTCTTTAGTAAGCAGGTTATTATTATTATTAACTTTACCTATGTCTTTAGCAAGCGGGGTACACAGTGCTTTCTCCGGCAGCCCACCCTCTGTGTTATCAATTATCCTGCTCTGTTGTCTCAGAAGCCTTGGGGCTTCAACCTTTTGCAGGGGTAATACTCAAGCCACCCCGACACCCACCTTACTGATCTCTTTCCTACAAGACACTTCTACCCGACCGCCCACAAAAACTGTTGCTCGCTACCTCAAACACCGAAATGTTCACAACCCACTTTCTTGTGCATTTCATAAGACTTCATAGCGCATCTGCCAAAACCATAGTTGTATGACCTGAGCAACATCCCCTAGGGAGCCCTGCACTATGTGAACCCCTTCGGTGGTTCGGACACATGCTGAGAAGGTGTAATTTGAGAAGAGAAAGGGCAACAGAGTAAGGACGGATACAGCTGTGTTGTTAACAATGATGAGGGAGCCGGAGCTACCACCCAGGTTCCCGGACAGCACCGCATCGCCAGAAGCAGAGTCCTCCAGCAAGGCGCAGCCAGTGCCTCAGACCCCTTGCTGCTGTTGGCTAGTGTGTGTCAGCCATAACCCTTCCCTCCTTCCGTGGGGTGGGGGAGAGGGAAGGGGAGACTGGCCTGAGGTGCAGAACACAGCTTGCAAGAGAAATCGCGAGTGAAAGCTGTGCTTCCAGGGCGCCCTAACCTAACGGAGGGAGGCCGTTGTGTTTGGTACGAAGAATGAAAACACACAGGCTGACGGAACCGAGTTCAGAGTCACAGGCAACGCGTTCGACAAATGCGTCAAGAGAACTTGGTGGAGGAAAAACAGCCAGTTTTCCCAAATCAAATATGATCCAGGTAGCTCGTTTCCACACACAAACAAATGAAGAGACGCCCTTAGCTCGGTCCACAACCAAAAAATACCCAAAGGGATCACAAAGCTGTACATAATTGCTAAACGGAGTAAGTCTGAGAACAAACCATGGAGGCAAATCTCCAAAATTTTAGTTAGCACCCCGCCCCCTTTAAGATGTAACAACACATACAGCATAAGCAAACCGGGCAGAGGGCAGAGCTTATCAAAATAAAACTGCCACAGAGCAGAGGTCCATGTGCCAGATGCTATCAGGAGCATCAGGGAGGCTGAGGACATCCTTGATTACGAGTTCGAGCCAGCCTGGGCTACAAGACACCCTATCTCAACCCACTCACCCTCCAGACCTGGAAGCCGGCCGTGCTTCAGAGTTCACCATCGTGAGACAAGAGGAAACTAACACAACAGGGGAAATCCCAAAGTCTATGGCAAATGCACATGTGGCACACCAAACACATGAAGAATCCTAAACTCGGGCATGAAGAGGCAAATGATCAGATGTTTAAATGGGAAAAGGAACTAGGTAATTCTCCCAGGTACGACCAGAGGCGACTGGAAGGGGGAATCATCCTTTAGTAAACGAGCAAGTGTCAACCAAAAGCCACCCCACACCCACTTTAGGAGTTGCTATAAAAATAGACATCGTTAATCAGCTGCCAGGACTTGGAGAGACAGCTCCTCCCGGGCTGACGCAGTGTGTGTAATCACACAGCTATGGTCAGTTCTGTAATTGCCCCCGACAGGAATCTAAGAGAATGAAAATCCGTGGCCCCCGACAGATGTGTACACATGTGCTCACAGGCTGCCTGCTCACAACAGCCTCAAGAAGGAAATCAGCCTAAATGTCCATCAGTTGACAAGAATGGCAGAACTGAGGCCATATGATGAAACGTCATTCGGCCAAAAGACTGCTCACCACCACCACGGGGGACAAACTAGCACACCACATTAAGTCAGAGAAGCAACCCTCACCAAAGATGGCTCCCAGATTAAAAGCTTCCATGTTGGAGGGAAGTGCCTTCAAGTGCAGGGTGTTAACGAGGGAGGAAGTTCTAAAGGGAGGTGCAAGTTTCCATCCTGCAGGGAAGCCCCCTAAATGCACAAAGTAAACAACTCAGAACAGCTTCAGGAAGTTGTGGGAACTGACCAGGTTCAATAGTCTCTCCCTGAGCACACATCAGCAGTGAAGACTACTGCAAGCTACTCAGACAAGCGCAGCTGCCTAGCAAATGTCGGTCAGCTGAACTGCATACAAAATGCTCAGGCCCGCCAGATGCAGGAGGGAGGGACACAGAGCAGCTGTACCTCCTACAACACGCAGAGTCCAGCAGAGCAGCCTACAAGAGGCTCAGGCCAACCGAGGCACCCAGAAAAGACACTCAGGCTTGCCCTGCTCCTGAGCTGTGCAGGGTTTCAGATTCCCAGCTTTCGTGAGCTGTCACCCAGGGCGCTGGGGATACAGCTGTCTTCCAGTCATTTCTGCTCCTAGAAGTAACCTCTCACTCATAACACTCACCAATCCCCCAACCACCTTTCCCTTCCTTCCTTCCTTCCTTCCTTCCTTCCTTCCTTCCTTCCTTCCTCCCTCCCTCCCTCCCTCCCTTCCTTCCTTTGCTTTGGAGACCAAGCTGGCCACAGACTCAAAAGATCGGCCTGCCTCTGCCTCCTGAGTGCTAGGATTAAAGGCGTGCGCCACCATCCGGCTCACTCTTGTTCTTTTAAGAACTTCAGTAGAACTCACTGGTTCACCGAGTTAGACTTTGGTGGTATCTGTACTTTGGCCTGTTGCACAAGTCTCCCAAGGAATAGTGTCACACAACCTAACAGACTAGACTGGCATCCATCGGAAATGCCCAGTGTGGGCCAGTCTACAGATAAGAACTAGGCTACTCGTTGCTAGGGCACGGGGAAGGGGGAGGAGTGACAGCCAATAGGAACAGGGTTTCTTTCTGAGCTAATGAAAGTGTTCTAGTGCACTTGGTGAATTCTGGCGGGGGGGGGGGGGGTGCACACACCACACACACAGATGTATATAAAATATTTAATTCAATGTATATGGTGAAATCATCTTACTTGTAAGCATGTGCATAAAATAACTGAATGCAGAAAGACCTTCTGTACATAAATGTGGCTGGTTCACTATCCAAGTTGTCAATAATATACCTGGCCATCAACAGACGTAGGAAAAACAAAACACAGTATGAAAGATAAATACAATGGGCTGTTATTAGCCATAAAGGGGGGGGGCAAATTACTGACAGATGGCATAGCAGGAATGCACCCTAAAAGCGTGATACTGAGTACACGGAATGAAGGAGCCGAGACACACAGGTCACACATTACATGTGAAATATCCAGAAAAACAACTAAACCCACAGGGGGGCGGGAAACAGCCTCAGGTGGAGGCTCAGTGGCCTCTCAGAGAGCACAAGGGCTCCTTGGGACAGGGGGGGGGGAACATCTTCAGAACTTGAAAGAGGTGACAGTTACAAGACACTGAGTGTGCTGAGTGCAGATGAAATGGACACCGAACTTTAGAGACCGGGCGGTGGTGGTGCACACCTTTAATCCCAGCACTCGGGAGGCACAGGCAGGCAGATCTCTGAGTTCGAGGCCAGCCTGGTCTACAGAGCGAGTTCCAGGACAGCCGGGGCTACACAGAGAAACCCTGTCATGAAGAAACAAAAGAAAACAAAACAACAGTAACAAAAGAATTCTGCAGCAGGAAGCTATGGAAAGAGGGAGTTGGAACTCTGTCTGGAAGTCGGGCTGAAGCCTGAAGCTGGCACTGTGCGTCTCCCCAAGCCACCCAACCCCCAGGTCACCCGACACCCAAATGGAGTCACCCCTCTCCTTCAGCCCTTTACCAAATGCCATTACCAGAGGCTCTGGAAACCACAGGGCCTAACGCTGAAGGCAAAGGTCCATGACGAAGGCCCGCCTCACCTTGGCAAGTTCCCGTCTCAGCTCGTCTTGCTCCTCCTCTGACAGGTTCTCTGGGGCACTGAGCATGGCGACAGCATCCTCCCCTTCCTCGGCCACTGGCTCTGTCTTCAGGAGAACTGCGGGTCAAGGAACAAAGGGATGACACCAAATGTGAAAGCTAAGCTAAATCCCCCCCTACAGCTGCTCCACCGTCCAAACTAGAAGGAAAGCTTCGACTTTCTGTACGTTGCTGTGATACGGCTATCTTGGGGAAAGATGAAAGAAAAATCTGGGATAGCCAATAAAATCCACCGACTTAGAATGCCAACGCACATACTGGGAACCATGCCTGCCTCTCAGTCTCCGTCTCCAAACGGTTATGACAGAGCAGAAGATGGTGTTCCTCCACCGTCCACCTTTATACTAAACACAAGCATCCATACAACCCCTGCACTTAGGAGGAGACAGGACAGTCGCTAGTCAAGGACATCTTCAGCTAAGACCTAGGTTAAGTCCAGCCTGGGCAACAGGAGGTCTTGTCTCAACAAAACAATAACCTTTCTTTAAAACGCAGTACAAATAAGTCAGCAGGGAGTAGACGGAGGATTTTAAGGCCTGCACACCAGCCCACAGGACAGACGTTGTGCTCATCAGCTCCCTGTGCAGACAATCTCCACACAGGAGCAAGTCAAATGTGCTAACGGAAGTTGACTCTGCCTCCTTCCAAGCGGCAGCGAAGGCGGGAAACTCGGTGCGGCTCTTCCTAAACCTGTACTCACTGACATAAGCACAGTGTCACAGGGCAGATAAGTACAGGCTTGCGATCCCTGTGCTCAGGAGGCTGAGACAGGAGAGCTGGGAGTTCCAGGCCAGCCGCCTGGGTTCTACAGTCTCCAGGACAAACAGCTGTTTCCACGTAGAGACGCGGCCCACAACAACACAGAGACTTCTAAACCCACTACACTCCTTCCCCGAAACAGAGCCCCCGTTAAGACCACATTTCCAGAGAGCGGCGAGTGTGGCATCTTCAGCTCTCATCTTCCCTTAACCATGCCCCATCTAAAGGCCAGCTCGGATCAAACGCAGAGGAGAAAGTCAAAAGAGCCACCCCAAACCGCAATTGTATTTGATTAAGGTTCTAATATCAAACATCCCACACAAGCCTGCTTTCACGTTCCGGCCGCCGGCCACTACCTGATGGCTCTGTTTCTGAAAGGTTGTGGACTCTTAGGACTGACCTCGACAGAGGAAGGGCATGGGGGGGGGGGGGCGGGCAGGCCCTGGGGTCCTGTCCAGCTTCCTGACTTCCTGACTGGGGCCACAGGATGATCAGCCACTTCACACTCCTAACACCGAGCCCCCTCAACTAGGAAGCTAAAGTAAGTCCTTCTCTTCTCAAGCTTATTTCCTCACAAGAAATCAAACTAATTCACATTTGAATTAATTTGTAAAATCAGGGGGAATTTAAAAACATATATATTTTCAATACATACATACATACATACATATTGAGGCCCAGTCTCACAGTGTAGCTCTGGCTGTCCTGGAACTCACTATGTAAACCAGAGTGGTCTCAGACTCACAAAGACCCATTTGCCTCTGCCTCCAGAGTGCTGGGATTAAGGTGTGCACCACCACCCCACCCAGCCCAAACAGAAAGGTTCCCAGAGAGGCTCAGCATAGGTAGTTCAGCCTTGTTTAACTTTTACTACTCTGTTATCATAGGTTTTGTTTGCGTTGAATTTGATCTTTTCAAAATGCTGTGTTGACACATGATTTGATTACAGAGTTTTCTGGTGCCCTCTTAAACTGTACATGGGTGACTCACCCCAGACACAGTCTACCTACCCATTCCCAGCATTCCCAGCTCACAGATTCTGATGCACCGAGGGCCAGGGAAGGCTTTCTCCTCTTCCTGTAAGTCACCGCCACTTACCTCAATCCTGTCACGGTGACCCTCCTAGCACGATGGCAACCAGCAGATGAAGGGCATGCAAGCGCATGGACAGGCGGGAAGAAGCAAATGCACATGGCTGAACACTCAGTACCCTACCCTTAAGAAAAGCACATAAGGTGATAAGATCCACCAGTAGCTACTCACACATTACAGAGGCACTCGACAGGGGGTTCATTGTGTAGTAACTTTTAAAGGCAATAAACAATTACAATAACCATTAGCACCGCAGAACCAAAACAGTGGCCTACACACAAGATGTCAAAGAGTCATTAAAGGAGCAAAAGTAACACAAACAAGCCTGCTCAGGAGCTAAGCAGAACTCAAGCTTTTCAGAAGCAGAGATAGCAACTGTTGCAATCAAGGGGTGGGAAAAGCTCACTGAGTAATAGCTTCTGTACCTCAAGGAAAGCCTAGGGGACCGGGCATGCGCAGGGGAGTCCCCGTGTGGATGCCCCCAGAGATCCTTGAGTAAAGCTTGACGGTGAAGCCTGGCTTGCCTTGGACACCCCCAAGATGTTGGCGATATCTGAGATGAGGGATACCTGCCAAGGAGAGCTATGTACAGGGTGTGCAACCAGCCCAAGACACAGCAGTGTGCTGCCGTCAACAAAGCCGGAAGGGAGAGCCATCCAAGACCCTTCCAGCATCAGCCTTAGTGTTGTGTGACTCAGTTTGCTCTGCTGGGTTTTGGTCCAGCATTTCCTCACCATCCTCCCCTTTCCTCCTTTTGGAATGCTAACGTATATTCGGCCCCACTGTGTGTTCATAGTATGTGACCCGCTTTTTTTATCTTGATTCCGTAGGGGTTAGAGTTGAGAGTGTGCCTCCAGTCCTCAGAGGTGTTTGAACTTCCAAACCCTGTTGAGACTGTGACAGACTACGGGGACTTTTGAAGTTGGACTAAATGCATTTTACATAGTATTACAGCTTCCGTGGGGGTAGGGAGTGGAATGCGGTGTTCTCAAGGGGAATGCCCCCCCCCCAAGGCTCACATGCCTGGATGCTTGGTCCCCTTTGGAACTGTCCGGGGGAGATCAGGAAGAGTGGCCTTGCTGAAGGAAGTGTGTCTCTGGTTTCAAAAGCCCACACCAGGCCCAGTATCTGTGTGTCTCTGCCTGCTGCTGCCTGCGGATCAGGATGTAAAGGTCTCAGATACTGCTTTAGCGCCAAGCCTGTCTGCTTCTAGACACCGTGGAACTGTGAGCAAGCCACCAATTAAACATTTTCTTTTAAGAGTTACCTTGGTCGTCATGTCCGTTCCCAGCATCGGGACAGTACCCTCTAAGACACCTCGGAACGAGTATCCAAGTACTATTTCTATAGCAGACATCTGATCTCCGGTTTTAAATCCTTCCATACTTCCTTGTTTTACAAACACAGCCCAGCCCTCAGGTCAGCATCCCCCATGGGGGCAGGCTCTGCCTTTTGCGATGGCCCTCAGACTCCAGCACCAGCCCAATCACTGTGGAGCAGGCTGCTACAATGCCTGTGAGCGCTCCTGTGTGACAAAAGGACTGAGGACTGAAGACAGACACCAAGCATGGGAGACCACCATCAGCCGGGGTAACATAAGGCTAAACTCGTCATTGGGTTTGAGCTTAACGTTTTGCTCAGGACTAAGTTCCTGACGACACGGGACTCAAAGCAGAATCCAAGTGCCGAACTTTGCTTCCTGGAGCAAAAGCTCTTCCACGATTTTAAATAAACATTATTTTGCAAGTCTAAATAGGCACGGAGATAAACATAGGACCAAACTGCTAATGTATGGGGGAATCTTCATTTCCAAAGAAGAACCTAGAAGGATGCTGCACAGGGTGGGAGTACTTAATATGGAAAACATTACAAGTTTTCGGTTTTTGGATTTTTAAATCAGGCATTTTCAGTTAGTGAAGCCCACACACATATTCCCTAACCCAAACAATGACTATATATTATATATTACATATAGCCCCAAAATTTCAGATAAGGTATCTTAGGGTTTTACTGCTGTGAAGAGACACCATGACCATGGCAACTTTCATAAAGAACACGTTTAATTGGGGACACTGGGTTACAGTTTATCATCACAACGGACAGCATGGCAGGGTGCAGGCAGGTGTGGTACTAGCTACTCCTTGACCAGAAGGCAACAGAAAGTCGATGATTATCACAGGGAGGGAAGCTTGAGCAATAGAGACCTCAGAGCCCGCCCCACAGTGACGCACTTCCTCCAACAAGGCCACGCCTCCTAATAGTGCCATTCATTCCCTTTGGGGGGGTCATTTTCTTTCAAACCACCACATAACAGACACTCAAATATTTTTACATGTGTGCTGCAGGCCAGAGGAGGGCATCAGACCCCACTATAGATGGTTGTGAGCGGCCATGCAGTTGCTGGGAACTGAACTCAGGACCTCTGGAAGAACAGCCAGTGCTCTTAACCACCGAGCCATCTCTCCAGCCCTGATAGTCAAATATTAGGCTATCTATAAAAATAAACGTCTCAAGAGAAACAATAAAATAAAAGACTTTGGCAATGCCAATACTTGGCTTCAGGACCACTGAGTTACCAGTTAAGTAGCAAAGTCAGCCTGCAATGATTCAGTCTGCTTTTCTCACATTAACCTGCAGGGGGCAGCAAATCGTTGGCATTAAAATTTAAAGGCGCAGGCTTTTAAGGAACTCACCAGGCTTTTAAGGAACTCACCTGGGAATAAAAAAACGTAAAGACAGAAGAACGGAATGGGAGACGCTCAAATCACAGGCCGTCGTCTCATATGTCTTAGAAAATTAATAACCACGGCCATTCCATAAGGGCTTCAGTTGACGCCCAACTCTGAGCTAAGAGGTCCAGAAACAGTCATTTACACTCTGACTTCCCTGACATATGACTGCTGTCACCACTGACAGATGCGAAAGAGGCGTACAGAGGCCAAGCAGCCGCCGCCAAAGTCACACACCACACAGCTGACACAGCAGAGGGTTTTGAAACGAGAGGGTCTGATCGGAAAGGAGATGCTCCAAGTCACGGGCATGATAACATAACCAGAATCAGAAGCAAGATGTTAAGACTAGGAAACCGGAACCACCCAGAGCCCAGGGACTAGGCCAAAAGCAGTCATGCCAGCCTATTTCTCCATCCCCGAACATTCACTTTGCCTCAAATAAATTTCTAGGTATTTTCTTGATTCCTATATGGAT